ACCCCGGCCCCCCCAGACATCACTGGTCAAATTTGTTGGCAACATCTACACCCTCAAGTGCAGGTATGCAGCCCCCTGGGGCGATGGGGGAGAAAGACCACCCACCTGGTCTCTCCACTTGGGGTTTGAGAAAGAGCCTCTGAACAAGACAGGGGTTGGTTGGGGTCAGGAGATGTAGCCTCATGGACTGGCGTAGAGTGTGGCTGGAGCCAGGCTAAGGACTTCTCAGCAGACAGCGACACCTCAGAGCATCATGCTGGGACCCTTGGGGTTCCAGTGCTGGCTCTGACACTTAGCAGCAAAGTGACCTTGAGCAAGGGCTTCCCACTCCCTGCCTCAATATTCCCACCTATACAATGGGGTTGGTAACAGATTTGCTGGGAGGATTTAAAAACCTGAATATTTATAAAGCACTCGAACTATGTCTGACGTATGGTAAGCACTCAACGAGTGTTTGCCTGATTCAGGAAAATATAGGTCTTAGTTCATTTTTACCAAAGTCCAGGTGTACATCTGAGGCCAGGAAACTGGGTCTGAGACTTCAGATGGGCTGCCTCAGGCCACATAGGTCAAGTCAGAAGTAAGATTTGAACCCAAGTCTTTGGAGCCACGAGATCAGGTCCTGGGCCCCTGTTCAGTGAGGCCTCCCTTGGGACCTCAGTTGGTGAGTTGGGTGCATGAGCAGGGTAGGTGTGAGTTAAGTGCCTGACCCCTTTTCCCCAGCTGCTGTCCTTCTGTCCTGGAGCCTGGGGTAGGGTCTGCCTCTCTGGGCTCTCTCCTCTCTCAGATCCTATGATTCAGTCAGATGGTGGAGGGACTTGGGAAGCCCAGTGTACTTTCCCAGCAACAGAGCCAGCGGACTGCCCTGAGCATAGAGGTGGGGGTCATTAGGGGACCCTACCTTGATCCTGGGATGGGTACAGGTAACTGTCCCTGAGGAAACATCTGGCTTCTGGGTCCTCTTCCCTGAAATCCTGGGCTGGCTCTCTCTACACTGAGTAGTGGCGGGTGTGCCGGATGCTCAGGGACGTGGGCAGGGCTACGCATCTGCCTCTCCTCATGCAGCGGCCACTCCTCTCTCTTTCTCTGTCCCTCCACACAGGTTCTGTGAGGTGGAATTCCAGGGGCCCCTCTCTATCCAGGAGGAGTGGGTGCGGCACTTACAGCGGCACATCCTGGAGATGAATTTCTCCAAAGCGGACCCCCCGCCTGAGGAGCCCCGGGCCCCGCAGGCACAGACAGCGGCGGCAGAGGCGCCCTAACACAAAAGCATTCCAAATTCCCTCTTGTGCCACCTCTGTCTCCTCTTTCTCCTCCGTCTCTTCCACCCTTTCCTCCCTCTTTCTTTTCCGTTTCCAAAGGAGCAAGCCAAAACCTCAAACCGGTTCCCCTTGGGGGCCGGGCACACTACAGCCGGGGCGCCAGGAGCCAGCTAGCGGCCCTTCCCCCAGCCCGAGGGCTCTGGGGCCACACACAGTGCATCTTCTTTCAGCCCATGCCCACCTGGTCCAGCAGGGGGAGAGGCCAGGTCAGGTGGCAGCTGCTCTGGTCAAGGGGAGGAGGGCCAGCGCTCCCCTGCATCTAGCAGCCAGGCAGGGCTATGTTTGCCCTCCGTGGCCATTTGCAAATGGCAAAAGGTTCCCTCCTGCCCCCGTGAATATCCTCTCACACATGGACACACACATACACGCACATGGACACACACACACAGGCACGCACATACACATATGCACGCACGCACCTCGTGAGACCCGGGATCTGCCCCAGCCCCCCAGTTCCTGAGTCAAACGACCACATCATGCCACGGTGCTTGCTCAGGGGAAGGCACGCTCCCTCTGAGGGCCTGCTGGGGCCTGGGAGCCCCCCACTGAGCCCATGATGCCACGGAAATCCTTATTGGCCACCCCCCAGAGGGGCCTTCCCAGCCTGGAAGAGCTCAGAGCTGACAGCTGCCTCCTGCCATGTCAAGGCCCCCCCAGAGCTTTGGGGGACTCCGGGGCCCAGGAGGGGGTGGGGATGGGACTTTCCTCCCCCACCCCCACTCCCCTCCCTCTTTTCACTGTTGCTTTCTATGTATAGCTCCCTAGACCTTTCACTTTTTTAAAAACGCGTTTTGTGTAGAGAATAAGGAACGTGGATCTTTTTATTTTGCAATCCTGGGCCAGCTAGAGACCGGGAGCTGATTGACCTTTTAACTTTTTTCAGTGGCCACATTTTGGTTATCGATGTACCTAGAAGTATGTAAATTAGATTAAATTTCTCTTCTGGAAACACCCCGGGGCAGGCGGCCAGCGTGTGTTTTTCTGTCGAGTGGACAGGCTGGCATCGTCTGGCAGCCGGGGCTGGGATCGAGCCACCTCCTCCCAGAGCCCCCGGAGGCCCTGGATTTTCCTGTTGGCTGCCAAGCTGACCAGACCCAGCTGGGGATGAGCCCAAGTTCCCAGCTGTTGGCTGTCAATGGCATGGTTGGTGGGGGGCTCTGGCTGGCTGGCGAAGTGGCTCCTGTGAGCAGAGGAGAGGAACCAAGACTCTGGGCAGCTGGTCTAGGAAGGGAGCCAGGATGAAGTGATGAAGCTGGAAGGGCTCTCCCAAGGGCAGGAGCTGTCCAGTGAGGGTATGGGGGACCTGTGGGAGGAGGGAGAAGCACACAGTTGCTGGCAGCCTTCAGAGAGCTGGGGCCAGCTTGCCTTCAAGACATGTGACTTGTCTGGAGACACAGGCACCCTGAGCCCAAATCACACGAGGGGAAAAGGGAGCTGCTGGCTCCTTCGCGATGTTATTTATTTTCTCGCTCTGCAAATGTTTATTGAACATTTCTGAGATTTTAAGAGATTTTGTTGGCTGCTCCTTCTTGTTTATTGCATGTGGTTTTTCAGCTCATCATTTTCACGTCAATGGCCAGGGGCTGGAAAGTGGGAATAACCTCATGAAGTGTAGACAGTGGAGGCCTCCTCCTACCCCAGCACTGTTGCCCCAGGCCCTCACCATGCCCCTGCCTGGGAGGGACAGGCTAATAAGCTGTGACAACGTGCCCACAAGAGTGGTCTTGGCCTGCAGTCTTGGCTTTTCTGGTCCTGTGAGGTCAGGGCACACATCTTGCCTGGTGGAGGAAGGACTCAACCACTAATGTCCATCCCACGCTATGAGTGGGCTTGTCTAAGACTTTGGAAGCACAGAGGGCATCTCTTGGGATGAGAGCTGGCCCGTAGGCACTTCCCCTTTTAGCTTTTTATGAATTAGTTTTAAACATGTAAAAGTAATGGAAGCTGGATGTAAAAAAAAGTTCAAACAGCACAAGACCTTATAAAGTAGCATGGGAAGTTCCTCCCCACCCACACATGCAGTGATAGCTGTGTAGGTCCTCGAAAGGGTCGCATACAGTTCTTAGCTCAGAGGGCTCTTTTCTGAGATTTTGAGCGTGCCCTTTTTCAGGCCATTCCATCTCAGAGGCAGAGCATAGGTTGTTAACAAAGTCACCAAAATGAAGGTTAAAAGATGGCTGTGGTATGTGCCATGAAGGCAGCTGTAGGATCCATGAGAGGTGTCTAGGAGCTCAGCTTTAATTTGGAGAACAGGCAGACCTCTCAGCCTGAAAGTCAAGTGAGCCCCAAAAGCTTGGTGTGCACATTAACCAGTTTTATGTGCTTCATATTTGGAGTTTCTCAGCACATCATTATTAGCCTTTTCCCATGTGGCAGCAAGTTATGCATAAGTCATTTTTAGGGGAGGGGTTGTTTTATTAAAATATTTTATGGAGAATTCCAACCATACAAAAACAGTAAAATGAATCCTCATCTACTTACCAGTTACCAACTCAAGACCAAGCTCTCCAGCTATAACCCTTCCACACCTTCCTTCCCTTTCCCCATCTGAATTATGGTGAATCAACATACTTGCCATGTGAATTAATGTCAGTATTTGAGTCTTTCTCAGAAGGATGGGGACTTTTAAATACGCCATTATTACACCTAAAGAGAGTGACAATTCCTTAATATCAAGAAGTCAGCAACATTGCTCATACTTTAAGACAAGCTTTTAAAGTAAAAAAAAAACATATGTACAAGCCATAATGGTACTCAGTGTGATGAGTTTTCACAGATGTAAAGTACCATTTTCAGTGTCTCCAGCTCTGTCATCTCTTAGAAGTTAGGAGGTATCTCCAAAAGTGGATTCCATGCAGCATCCAGTGAGGATGCTGAGGATACAGGGTTGGCGCCAGGCTGCACCATTACAGGATCTCTAAAGGCCTGAACGAACCAAGGGGGTCTTAGGAGTTCAAGCTTTAACACTTAAGTGCCAAGGACCTAGGGGAAGTCATGAATTCCAAGCCTCGGTTTTACCTTTTAAATGGGAAGTTCTTTTAAAAAGGACCTTGCAGGTATGAGGGGAGCATTTGAGATGATAAACAATATGAATATATTAATTACATATGCCATATAAACATGCTATATAAGTATATCCGTTATCATTATGTAACAACAACAAAAGGTAACATTTACTTAGTGCACCTGGCACTGGACTGATTTCTTTACATGCATTATCTCATGTGTTTGAACCTGTGCCCAGCATTTTGTTTGGTGCTTAGTTGTGATTTTCATCCAGCATGGCCATACCATGCTCATTTCTGGAGCTGAAGGCCAGAGAAGTTAAGAAACAACCTAGGTTTGCACTGCACCTCGGTAGCAGGGCCCAGACTGGAACAGTGCCCTGTGCCCAGTTCCTGCTCCCTCTGGCGGTCCTCCAGGGCACCGCCCCTCCCCTCCGCCCTGACGCGCTTGGGCCTCAGTCCTCCCCGTAGTACACAGCTCCGCCCTTTCGAATTCTACAAGATTCCGTCTCCCCGGCCTGCTTCCCCCAGCCAATCATCGCGGGCTTGGGATAACGGGGGGCGGGGCTCGCACGAGATGGGCAGCACCATCAGTCTCTAACATGAGGATGGACTGGGATAGACAGCGCTCTCCTCCAATAGGAGTAAAGCCAGAGTCCTACGCGAGCCAATGGGGCCGGGAGGTGGGGTTCGGTTGTGTTAGAAGGGGCCCGGGGGATTGTCGCCGCTATCCCGGCGTTGGACTTGTAGGACAGCTGCGTGGGTCCTCGGGTGCTGTGTTCGCTGCTGCCATGAGCTATACAGGTGGGCCCGCCGGGTAGGGGTCGGGCTTCGGGTGGGGAGGGACAGGGACGTGCCAGAGCCGCACCGTGCTCGCCCGCATCTCCCCCGGGGCTTGGACGCTGCCCTCTCTGCGGTCACAAAATGGCGCCGCGGGTCCGTCGCCTCAGGTTCGCCCCGCTCATGCCTTGGCGCCTCAGTTCTTTGTGCTCCGGCCCTCGCGTCCCGGCTCCCGGCCTCCCCGAGGTCTTGGCCTCTGACGCTTGTGTCCGAGGGTCCCGGCCTGAGCGCGTGCGTTCTCTGAGCCCACCACCTCCGCCCTAGGTCGGGTCTGCTCGGACCTCGGAACCGCAGGTCGCCCTTCCTCAGGCCTTAACCCTTCAGATCGGGCAGCGGGCTGGGCTGCCTTCGCCATTGCCACAGCCTCCCCCGCGCCGTTTCCCTGCAAAATGCCGCAGCTACCCACCCCCAGCCCCTTTGCCTGCCCCAGGCTGGGAGAGGCGCCAGGCCCCGGGGTGATGAGCGGGGGAACCTTGGGCCCAAGGGGCTGGGGGCTACGCCTGAGCCTAGAGAGGAAGGACCAGCTTTTCCATTAATTCATTCACCATCTGTCAGAGTCTTCGCGTCAGGTGCCGAACAAGCGCTGGGAAATTGACAGGATATTCTCAAGCTGCTTATGGGCGGACCTTAACAGGGAAACCAATGAATGTAGGATTCGCTCCCCGGGGCTCAGTCGGCGGAGGGGCTTGCTCATTTGCGGGGGTGGGGTGGGGGGTGGTTGGGATCAAGGTAGCGAGGTGACATTTGAGCAGACCTGAATGGAGTGAGGCAGATAAGGGTGTCTGGCCCGGGGTGCCACTGGCATAAAGGCCCATGAGCAGAAACCGCCTGGCTTTTTAGATCAGCTAGTGAGGCCAGTGGGATTTGAGCAAAGCGGGGAGGGTGGACGTTGAGATCGGAGAGGGGACCCTGGGCTATGCTTGGACGGTTGTGAATTATCCCTGGAGGAGTTTGAAAGGCTGCCTGGGTTTGCCTTGGCAGTAACACATGAAGCTTCTCAGCCGGGAGCCATAAACTGGGCCTCCCCCTTTGACGGGGGTATTAGGCTGAGCAAGTATGGTTGCTGGGTAACCTACATTCTACTTGGAATGTTCAGGACTGACAATGGAACTGAAGCCTCTGGGGCTGTTCCATACACTATTTTATGTTAGCCTCAGCAAAGAGGTAGTGCCAGGCGTCCCACCTCTGGCCTCCAGGTGAGGAGCTTGGCAAGAAACATGCTTTTCCAGCAACCATCCCTTAGCTCAGTGGTTCTCAATCAGGGGTGGTTCTGCCCTCCTGCCCCCACCGCCAGTTCATTTGGCACTGTTTGCAGATGTTTCTGGTTGTCACATCTGAGAGTGGAGTTGCTACGGTCATCCAGTGGATAGAGGTCAGGAATGCTGCTAAACATCCTATAATGCACAGGGTATCTCCCACCACCATAAATTATCCAGCCAGGAATATCAGTAGTGCCAAGGTTGGTCAGCCTTGCCCAGGCCTTTCTGTAGCTTTCCTGGTTCAGGAGAAAAGTCAGTAGGGTTGTTGCTGACATCTCTGGAATTGAGGTGTAATCCTTTCACCAAGTCTTGGCTTTTAGGGGCAGGACTGCTGAGGAAAAAAACAAACAAACAAACAGAATATGAATGGTTGGATGCTCTGGAGTAGCTTGATAATGGCACATTTGAATTTATAGACAAGGAGACTGTCTTTGAGAGAGTTGGAGAAGTCTCTAATGGCCAGGTCTGAATTTCAACTCCAGATCTTGTAGGCTTTACTTCTTGGCTCACTGAGGGAGCCAAGATAATGAGATAATGATTACTTTTTCCTTGATCTTGATCAACTAAAAACAACAGCGGTTTTATAATGTGAGTCTCCCTTTTGAGAAGCATACCATTGAAGTTAAAAAAAACTGCTTAAGTCCCATTTCAAGGAATTAATATGCCTTTAAGGAGGAGTTCTGGAGGCCTTGAAGTAGATGCTACCATTATTAACAAGCATAGGAGGTGATTAAAGTAACTTACCTTTTTTTTTTTTTTTAAGATTTTTTTTATTTATTTGACAGACAGATCACAAGTAGGCAGAGAGGCAGGCAGAGAGAGAGAGAGGAGGAAGCAGGCTTCCCACTGAGCAGAAAGCCCGACGCGGGGCTCGATCCCCAGGACCCTGGGATCATGACCTGAGCCGAAGGCAGAGGCTTTAACCCACTGAGCCACCCAGGTGCCCCAAAGTAACTTACCTTTTTGATAACTTGTCCAGCTTTTGAACCTAGTTCATGTGTACTTGGAAAAGGGGGCTCCATCTCTGGCACTGAGGAGAAGGATGGAGCAATGGAAAAATAGGACAGAAAAATCCAAAATCAGGCCTTCAAACACTGCCAAACCTTTTATAAAAACATTGCTTTCACCAAGTTTGTGTTGGGAGTGTGCAATGGGTTTAGCTGAGTGGTTCTGGCTTGGGATCTCTGAGGTTACATTTTGGATGTCCATCCAAAATGACTTCAGGGACTGTAGTCACCTGAAGGCTTGACGGAGGCTAAAGGACCCACCTCCAAGATGACTCAAACTCACATGGCTGGTGGGTTGATGCTAGCTGTTGGCTCCTCACCATGTGGGCCTCTCCACAGGCCTGTTTGAGGCTCCTTACAGCATGGTAGCTATTTGCCTTCAGAGTGAACGTTCTACAATAGAGCAAGGCAGAAACTATTGAAAGTCCTACTCAGGGGCGCCTGGGTGGCTCAGTGGATTAAGCCTCTGCCTTCGGCTCAGGTCATGGTCTCAGGTCCTGGGATTGAGCCCTGAATCGAGCCCTCTGCTCAGTGGGGAGCCTGCTTCCCCCTCTCTCTCCCCCTGCCTCTCTGCCTACTTGTAATCTCTCTCTCTGTGTCAAATAAATAAATAAATAAAATCTTTTAAAAAAATTTTTTTTTAATTAAAAAAAAAGTCCTACTCAGTCATTTCTGCAATCTTACTGGTTACACTGGTTACCTCTATTAGTTTGGGAAGGGACAGCAGCTTTAGGAAGCAAGAATAAGTAGAGGCCATCTTGGAGGCTGGTTACCCCCAGACTGTAGAGGCTGGAGTCAACCTAACCTTGTTCCAGTTGTCCTCTAGTTTATATCACTTTGTCATTTCTTCAAAGAATCCCCTTTCAAAAAAAAGAAGGAAAAGAATAAAATGGAGAAGCTCTGTGTATTTTTGAATGAAGAAATCACAGTCTGACCAAGAGGGAGGGAGGGGTTATGATGCATAATTACCATAAATCCATGGTCTGACCATTAGCTTTCTAGGGCCAAACACTTATTTTTTCACCCAGAGCTGTTCAGGGTAAATCAAACCAAGAAGAGAAGGATTTATGAGCCAGATAAGAATTTATTCGTAAATGAAGCCTAACAAGAAGGTCCTACTCTGAAGACAGTATTGGGCAATAAAATATTGACATGGGGAGGACAGAAGTCGAGCAAAGGTTGCCATTGACCTCTGAAGGCTTGGTGGATTGTCTTTCCTTTTTCCCGGGGAAGAACAAGGGCCCCTCTCCCTTGACTAGACATAGATTCTTTGCTCTGCAGCTTTCATACTGTGTTCGAATTAGTAGTCCTGTCAGGGTGTGGTGGTTCCAGCTGCACCTGCTGTGTGTATAAACCATGTTACCTGAAGTCTGGAGCCATTTCACTGGTGGCTTTATTGCTGAACAAACAGGTTTCGGGAAGCTAGTTAAGCAAACATTGTGGAGAAGGTAGGTGTAGGGTACTAATTTTTACACTGTGGGGCTTCCTCACAAGTGAACCATCCAGAACGTGCTTTCACTGTTTCTTGTGGACATTGTTTAGGATGTATGCATCTTGGGAAGGTCCTGGGTCCCTGGAGGGAATCCATTATAATTTACCGTTCTTAATTAGTGAACGTAAAAATGGTTACCCTGGATACTTTAGTCTTTCTCCTTCCCTAGCACCAAGTCTCAATTCCCTCCTCTGGGAAGTAAAGATAAAGTGTGGGTCCACTGATCTTTACTTGAAAGCTGGGAGCTGGGTATATTTTGGAATTCTAGCGTGAGAGGGGGACATTCCACAACACCCCCACTGGGGTGTGAGGAGCATCCTGTAATTAAATGCATTATTTCTGTACTAGGTTGGGTAAAGAAAAATTGTGATTGTCCTCATAAGTCAGTTTTGTCCCACAGTGAGTGTTGGCACCACATTTGAGGAGAACACTTGGTTTTCAGACCTTTTTGGACTTGGGAACTGCAGGGTAAGGGATCTTGGCCCTGTCCTCTTTTGGCTGTGATGAGGATGAAATAAAATAATGCAGATAAGGCTCTTAGCACCCTGGGGGGGGAAACACTTGTTCAATGTTGGCTTCTGTTGTGATCTTCTTTGTTGCTATGGTCCTAAAAGATGAGCTAGAGAGACTGTCAACATGTGAATGCCTATTCCAGGGAAGGCACTTGGTGGATGCTTTTGTTGATTTTCAAAAAAAAAAAGGAGCTATTAAAGGCACTGGCTTTAATTTTTAGATCATGAATTGGCTCTGATGAGAATAGGCAAATATTGCCTCTTGGGTATCCATCATAGTTTCAGTGCTAAGGGTAAATCATTTTAAAATAATGTTTGTAAATGTAGTTTTAAAGATAGTACCAGGATTCATCATTTAAGAACAATAGTTTCTGATAGAGGTTCAAGTTTTCCTTATTTAGTACTAATTCATCTTAAGTTGAGAAATAGTTTGAGGGAAACCTGGCTCAGTTGGATGAGTGTCTGTCTTCAGAGCAGGTCATGATCCCCAGGTCCAGGGATAGAGCCCCAAGTCAGGCTCCTTGCTCAGCAGGGAGTCTGCTTCTCCCCCTGCTTATACACACACTCATTCTCTCTTTCTCAAAAAATAAAATCTTAAAAAAAAAAAAAAAAAAAAGTTGAGAAAGTAGGAAATAATATGCATACTATATACGACATTGGTTCAGTAAAAACATGCTTACCTCAAGTAATTTAATTGCATATACACATTTTTTATGGGAAAATTAGAAAATACAAAGCAATTTCCGTTTCAGATCTGGGGGAAGGGAAGGGGTAATATTTGCCTTAACATTGTTCAGAACCAGCACCCATCCTTGTTTGAACTGGAGGCGGCTCACCTTTCAGTCACTTGATTCAAGTATTTTCCTTGTTTAACTGAATAATTTGGGCACTCATTGATCGAAACCGAATACTGGTTTAAATTGTTAGAACATTTTTCTCCAGTGCTTCTAGTGTAGCAAGTTAATTATAGCCTGTCTTTTCATTGGCTAATATATCCTGGAGGTATAATTAAAGTGTTGAGAAGCTAAAGATTTTGGAGGATTTCCATTAAGAGGAGGGCCTGTCAGCCAGTCTGCACTGAAGGGTAGTCTTAGGTCACCTCCATGTGGCTTGTTTTGGGAAATTAACCACACCATGCTTATATTTAGGCTTTGTCCAGGGATCTGAAACCACTTTGCAGTCGACATACTCAGACACGAGCGCTCAGCCCACCTGTGATTATGGTAAGTGTGGGCCCCTGGGAACCAAAGGGTGAGAGCTTTGCCTTCTAGTGGCAGAGCAACCTCATGTCTCCTGGGTTGCTTTTGACTCTGTTCTCACTGTCTTGCTTGTCCCAGTGCAATCTCGTGTAAAACAGTGTGGTGAGCTCTTAGAATAGCTAGTGCTTCTGTTGGAAGCAGCAATGGGAAAGATGTGTGCTTACTGAGCAGGCTGGAGTTCTTGGAGCTGTAAATGATTGGTCCCTTTGACCCTGTAACATGTTGTTGAAGTGCATATGGTCTGTGACAAAGGTCTGGCTTCGCAAAATCCCCTTGAGGGCCTAGGAAGGAGAGTCGCCAATCAAAGTCCAAAGGATTGGTCTGAGCAGAAACCTAGCCATCAGTTTAGCTTCAGGGTAGCATGTGGGATGTGTTTGTAAGAGAAGCTGCCTGTCTGAATCTAGCAGGGATTTTAGAGACAGTCAGACCATCTCAAGCCAGCGGGCTCCTCACATGGGATTGAAGGAAAGTGTTGATCAGTTTCTTAGTCATGATCAGACACACTAAATCTCTAATTCAGAAGTAGCCACTAGGGCACCTGGGTGGCTCATTTGGTTAAGCGACTGCCTTCGGCTCGGGTCATAATCTTGGAGTCCTGGAATCAAGTCCCGAGTCGGGCTCCCTGCTTGGTGGGAAGTCTGCTTCTCCCTCTCCCTCTGCCCCTCCAGTTAGCAATCGATAACTGCCAATAAATGCTGGTCCACCTGTGGTCTGTGACCACAGATGTCTGTGAGAAGGAGCCCTCTTTGGAATTAATAAGGATAATGCTTTGCATGCTGAGATGGGTTGATTGTTGCACTATTAGAGTCTGGGGAGGGACTGAGCCTACACTGTGACACTACCTCAAGAGTCACTGAATAAATGGACATAAACTCCCTCAAGTATTAGCAGCTAGTACAGAGGGAGGAGGAGACTTAAAGTGTTAAGAAATTGAGTAAGGAGGTATCAGGTATTTCTGAAAAGAGGAGAAACTTGGTATATATGGCTTCCCTGTCTTGCCCTGTCTGCCTCACCCCATTTAATCAAGCAGTAGTCCCAGACTGCACAGCTTATTTGAATTCTTTTCCCTCTGGTTTACATAGTCTCAGTACGAGCATTTTGGCAGATATACCATTTGCAAATCTTTTCTTCCGGTCTGTGGCTTGTCTATTCTCTTGTCAGTAGTGTCTTTCAAAGAACATAAGTTCTTCATTTTGATGAAGTCCTGTTTATCATTCTTCTCTTTAATATATGGTGATTTGAGTGTTGCGCCTAAGAAATTTTTGCCTAGGGGTACCTGGGTGGCTCACTAGGTACTTTGGCTCCAGGCAAGATCCCAAGGTACTGGGATCGACCCCCCATGTTGGGCTCCCTGCTCAGCGGGGAGCCTGCTTCTCCCTCTCCCTTTGCGGCTTCCCCTGCTTGTGTGCGTGCACGTGCGCGCTCTCTCTCTCTCTCTCTGTCTGTCTCTCAGATAAGTAAAATCTTAGGAAGGGAAGGAGGGAGGGAGGAAGGAAGGAAGGAATTTTTGCCTAACTCAGGTGCCCAAGATTGTCTTCTGAGTTTTTTTTTAGGTACTTTCTAGTTTTATGTTTTCCATCTGTTCTGTGATCTATTTTTAGTTAGTATTTCTACAAGGTATACAGTATAGGTCAAGATTCTTCAAACCTCTATATGTCGGTCTGTTTCTGGACTCTAATTGTGTTCTGATCATCTGCGTATCTGAAATTCCTCCAGTACCAGTCCATCTTGATTACAATATAATGAGTCATTAAATCAGTTAATTCAAGTCCTCCAGATTTATTCTTTTTCCAGAATTGACTTGTATATTTCAGTTCTTTTCTTTTTGCCTATAAATTTCAGAATCAGTTTGTCGATTTCTGTAAGAATTCCTGCTGAGATTTTGAGTCTGATGGCCTCAAATCTATAGATCCGTTTGGGAGAATTAACCTGCTAATGATATAAGTCTTCTGATCCATGAATAAAGTGTCATTTGATTTAATTAGATCTTTGATTTCTTTCATTAGTGTTTTGTAGTTTTCAAAACACAGATCTTGCACATAGTTTGTTATAGTTGCATCTACGTATTTCCTATTTTTAGTTCCAAGATAAATGATATTTTTTAAAGACTTCGGTTTTTAGTTGTTTATTGCTAATTTGTAGAAATTGGGTTGATTTTTATATATAGACCTTGTAATAAACCTTGCCAGGCTCACTTATTTTTGTGACTCATACAGATTTTTTTTATGTAGTCAATCGTGAAAGAATAAAGACAGTTTTATATTCTGGCTTAAATTGCAAAAGCAGTATAACGATATTTAAATAACATTTTGGAAGACAGTCAACTGCAATCCCGCCATATTAATACTTCTGTCAGCATTCCTGTTCTAAGTAGTTGAATATAGGAAGATAGAATTTTGTGTATCGTTTTATTTGCTTACTGTTAGAAGCGTTTCCTTGTACTGGATAAGACTGAATGGATTTTTTTTTTAATGCCTCTATGAGGTATGTCACTGAGAAGGTAGGCTGTAACTTCCTTGAAGTTGACCATTTACGTTGTTCTGTATTTTTGTTCTATAAGTTTTGCTTACTATGACCATCTACTTTTCTCCTCTTCTGTTTGTTTTTCTCTTATTAAAAAGATTTTCATCCCAGGGCGCCTGGGTGGCTTAGTTGGTTGTCCGCCTTCAGCTCAGGTCATGATCCCAGGGTAGCGGGATCAAGCCCTTCATGAGGCTCCCTGCTTCTCCCTCTCCTGCTCCCTCTGCTTGTTTCTCTTTCTGTGTCAAATAAATAAATAAAATCTTTTTTAAAAAAAATTATATCCCTAAGCTTTCTTGTGTCAACACTAATCTCATCCCCCTCTGGAGGTAGAAGTGAGCTTTTGGAAGGGGCAGTTCTTAGGGACTCCCCAGGCTCAAAGTGTAGATAAAGGTTTCCCCTTGAAGGGACCTGGCTGGGAAGTCCCCCTTCAGGGAGTCTGAGTTGCTCTGGGCATAGCAACAAGCACATGCAGAGTGCTTTCCAAGTCCTGTCTGTCAAAGGGCTATCACCTACCTAGCCACTTGTCCTTGTGTTTACAGAGTTTAGCATCCATTCCTGCTTCGTTTCCTTGTGCTTCCTTGCTCTATTCTGGCAGATTTTCAGCAGCTAAAGCCCTGGAGAACCATACGCAAGCCTCATAAGCGGAGCCCCAGTGGGTCTGCCTTGGCTTCCCAGTCCTGTCTCCTTTTGAATAGCTAATGTCCACTGTTCCTGGTGCAAACACCCAAGGGACCAGGCTCTTGTCAGTTGCTGGGGCTAAGTATATATTATTCCTTGGTTGCCTCTGGCAGCCTCTCTTCTTGCCTGTCAGAACTACTCCTTTGCCACTCATCTCTTAACGTGATTTCCTGCTGCCAGCTGTCCCTTGCTGCTTTCTAATTAGAAGTGTCTCCTTTAACAGACAGTGCTCTGGGCCTGAGCAGTGCCCAGCACTGCCAGCCTCTGCTGTTGTGTGCTCAGGAGGATTGTTGAATAAAGGAATGAATGAGAAGCCTCTGTTTTGATTTCCCCAACCAAGAGGATTTTTGCTTTGTGAGCTCTCTGGAGCCCAAGGTGCATTAAGCGTAACAGTCACCTAGGGTTCTTTGCTGGTTTCTGATACCTCCCCATTCTGTTTATGCACTGGATTGAGGAGGAAACTGACTGTAGGACCTACCTTGGCCTGCCCCATCCATCTTTTCAAGTTTATACACTCTTGCTGACCTGTGACTGGACTCTGTCATTCATCACACTGCCGTCTCACTGAGCTTTGGTCCCTGTCCTGGGATAAAAGCATGTCTTGTCTGTCTGTAGGGTAGAGATAATAGGGAGTAGGAGAAAACTCTGGTGTCTCACCAGAGACACTGAGAAAGTTCTGGTGGACTCCCCTGGGCAGGAACCATGTTTGCTTGGCTTGGAATTCCCACTTTACTTTGCACTTCGTCAGTTCTCACTGGCTTTATATTCTGAAGGGGTGAATTTTTCTCGTGTGCTGGGTAAAATCCAGAGTATATTTAGTTTATAATCCAGATTGTTCTCTCAGCATTTCTCAAGCTAGGAATTATGTTGTCCTTACCTCTGCCAATAGGTTTCTGCAGAGCACACACAAGATTCAAGTGCTTGGTTATCCTCCCTGTTGAGGCATCTACTTTGGGGACCAGGATAGTTAGTTTCTCTGTTCCAGATGGCTTTTTTTGGGTGATTTGAGTGACATGATTTTCACAGTGGATGTGGGCTCTGTGCTGAACTTCTTGTATAGCATAGTCTGTGTGAGGCACCAGAAACCGTTCTCCTCTTCCTCTGATTGGTGCTTAGCACGAAGTGGGAGTAATCTAATTCTGGCTCCTCAAGGGAGGAGTATGAGAGCCAAATTCCTCAGCTGGCAGTGTTGGCAAGGGGAGACCCCTTAAGTAGCAGACGGCCAGAGCCACAGAAGTTCCGGCACCAGAGCATGGGGTGACCTGGTTCATTTATGGAGTGCCCTTAAGCTCAGGGCTTCTCAGGGGAGGTTCAGTCTTCTGTCACCAGGCTGGCACTGAGAATCGTCTTCATTTAAGCTCTTGTTGTATTATAATCAACTGTAGATGTAATTGCACTTTTCCTTTTTGTAGGGTATGGAACTTGGAACTCTGGGACAAACAGAGGCAAGTATTCCCATGAGTGCTCTCCTCTCCCTTGGGATTGAACTGGTTGTGTGTTTCCACCACTGCCCAGCTTGCCCAGAGTGTATTGGGAGGTGCTTTTGGGGGTCCCTGGTCCAGCTGCTCTTTCACAGGAGGTCCTGGGCTGGGACCCACCCAGCCTCAGGAGGCTAGGGTCCCCAGCTTGTCTCTGTGACAGAAGATGTCCTTGTCTCTCTGTCTGTGTCTCTCTGTCTGCCTGTCCTCTCCCTATCCCTGCCATCTCTGTCCGTCCGTCTCTGTCTTCCTCCTTGCAGGCTACGAGAACTATGGCTATGGCTATGGCTATGGCCAGGATAACACCACCAACTATGGGTATGGTATGGCCACTTCAAACTCTTGGGAAATGCCTAGCTCTGACACAAATGCAAACCCTAGTGCTGCGGGTAGCGCCAGTGCCGATTCCGTTTTGTCCAGAATTAACCAGCGCCTAGATATGGTGCCACACTTGGAGACAGACGTGATGCAAGGAGGCGTGTACGGCTCAGGTGGAGAAAGGTGAGTGGGTGTCCGCCCAGGGGCTGAGGCTCTGCCGGGTGCTTGCTGTCTGCGGGTACCTCCCTCTGTGACCCGCCTTCTGTGTCAGCTTTCTCTCTCCTTGCTTTGCTGCTGGGGCTGCCGGAGACTGTTCAGCATCTGCTGTGCTTCCCTTCTCTGGCCTGGGGCCCCTCCCTGCCCTTTGCTCTTGCCTGGTGGCGTCTCCCTACGGCTTGTAAGGGGAGGAACAAGCCTCAGCTGGGCCAACTTCGCTGTATCCTCTGAATGGCTCTTCTCAGGACCAGAGTGTGAAGGGGCCCCTCCCTGTGGAGACAGGCGTTTGGAGATCTCATGAGACTTTGTATCCCACACGGGGTCAGCGCAGGACACATTGGGTTGGGCTTGAAGCAGGGCAATGAGTCTTTGGGGCTGACCACAGCAAGCTAGACGTCCCCACGTAAGAGAGCAGATATGGACACTTCCGGGCCACTCTTCTGAGCCTGACAAAGGTGTGCCTGTTGGGCCTCAAAAGTGCCTTTGTGAGAACTCTTGTCCTCATTCTTGAAGTGCAAGAGGTTACACTCCTTGCCGGAAGGCACCCAGGACTAGGTGGTGGGACTGGGCCTGCCTCCTAGCTGTGCCCTATCCTGCAGCATCATGCTGCGCGCATTCGTCTGTCATTATCTGAACTGGTGCCGGCTCAGAAGTCCTTGTGCTCTAGTGAGAGGCTTCAGTGAGGAGGGCACACGATGGCGTGGAGGATCCTAACGGCTCCAGCTGACAGACGGGAGGAGAGCAGAGAGTAAGGAGGGGTTGGGCCGGGCTCTCATGGGTTCAGATGAGGCCCCAGGGCCACTGGGGGCAGAGGCTGCCAAAGGGACTTGCACGCATTGGCTCTGTAGCAGGCAAAAAGGGTGAGGGGTCCCCAGATAGACCCCATACCCTCATGCTGGGCAGCCTCTGCGCTTGGTTGGCGCTGAGGCTGCTTGAGGCAGAAGGGGCTTGGCTTTTGGCTAGTGGCTGTGTGGACCCTGTTGCTTCTGGTGCCTGTTGCCTGTGTACCTTCTTGCTATAGCCTAGAACAGGGGAGTAGGGGTGAGGGAGGGGTGACAATTGGGTAGTGCTGGCTGCTTCTCCCACAGCTGCTGGCACTTCATGGCTGCCCAGTTTTGCCAGGAGGGGCCTCTGTGCCTGTGTGGGGTTAGGGACGGGGTATGTGGGCTGTACCCACGGTTAGAAGAGTTTTCTATACATTGGGGAGGGTATGTGCTATGGTGAGTGCTGCGAAATATGTAAGCCTGATGGCTCACAGACCTGTACCCCTGGGGCAAATAATACATTATATGTTAATAAAAATAATTAAAAAAAAAAAAAGAGCTTTCTGTGGCACTCTCTTTCTCCTGGGAGGCTTGGCCTGCCTTTCCAGTTGCTGTGGAGGGTTCGATCCCACAAGGTTGATGTTATAGAGCTCTTTCTCTAGTCCCTGGGCAAAATCACAGTGACTTTCCTGGGAAACACTCTCCACTTGTCTCCCTTCTCCTTTTGGGTGGTGAGAGCCTTTGGAGGATTGGAAGTTTGCTTAGCCAACAGGGATGAGACCAGCACAGGGTTTCTCGTGGGCATCATCGGTCCTGTTGGACAAGCATTTGTGTGCTTAACTACCCACATACCACAGGACACTGGGGTGCTTGGTTCCACCCCCAAGTAGAACCTTGGGCACTGTGACTACCACAGATAAGTCCGTGCTTCCAAAGGGCTAAGGGCTGCGGGCTGCAGGGTGTTTCTGCCCCTGTCTGAGATATACTCCATCCCATTGTCGGTTTGTCTTTGGGTCCCCTAGCTGGTGCAGAGGCAGTCCTGAACATTGAGCCTCTCTGACAGGGTGCCATAGGTGCTGGAGTAGGACTTCTGTCCCCAGGACAGGGAGCTCTGGGGAAAGACAGGAACAGTAGGCTCCACCCAAGGGTAATGAGACCTGAGGGCCTCCCTGATGCTTGCCACCTGCTTCTGCAGATATGATTCCTATGAGGCCTGTGACTCGAGGGCCATTCTGAGCGAGCGCGACCTATACCGGTCAGGCTACGACTATGGCGAACTTGACCCCGAGATGGAAATGGCCTACGAGGGCCAATACGATGCCTACCGCGACCAGTTCCGCATGCGTGGCAGCGACACCTTTGGCCCACGGGCTCAGGGCTGGGCCCGGGACTCCAGGAGTGGCCGGCCGATGGCCTCGGGCTATGGGCGCATGTGGGAAGACCCCATGGGGGCCCGGGGCCAGTGCATGCCTGGTGCCTCCCGGCTGCCCTCCCTCTTCTCTCAGAACATCATCCCCGAGTACAGCATGTTCCAGGGCATGCGTGGCGGGGGCGCCTTCCCAGGTGGCTCCCGCTTTGGCTTCGGTTTTGGCAATGGCATGAAGCAGATGAGGCGGACCTGGAAGACCTGGACCACGGCTGACTTCCGGGTGAGTGGAGGAGGCCATCCCTCCTGGCCCCTGCCTGGGTGGAGCAAGGAGCGTGGAGCTGCCTGCCCTGACCCAGCTCCCACTTTCCAACCCAGACCAAGAAGAAGAAGAGAAAGCAGTGCGGCAGTCCCGATGAACCAGACAGCAAAGCCACCCGGACGGACTGCTCAGACAACAGTGATTCAGACAATGGTGAGCTGGACCCTGGGTTGCCACTCCCTGCCCTCTATCTTGTGGGGCTCCCGGGCTGAGCTTGTCTCTTCATGCTTTTCAGATGAGGGCACTGAGGGGGAGGCCGCAGAGGGCACTGAAGGCGCCGAGGCTGTGGAGAAGGGCTCCAGAGCAGTAAGTGGCTGCGCTCTGTGCACTGTCAGCAGGTGGGGCCTGTGCGGAGCGGGCTGGCTGAGCCTGTGCCACAGAGCAGGGCTCTCCACGGGGCCCGCAGGCCATCCTGGTCATGTACGTGTGAACAGCACAAGGGAGGTGGAGGTCTGGCAGAGAGAGAAGAGGCTGCAGGCAGGCCATCCAGCCAGAGGCCAGGCTTCTTTATCAGAAGATGGTCAAATGAGCCCCCTTGTGCAAGGGCTGCAGCGAGATTGTGAGGCTTTTTGGCCTAGTGCCTGACATTTCAGGCCTTGGCATTCAGCGTCATTATAAACAACTGTATGTGCTTTAACGTGGGGTTTTTGAAACTGTGTCCTAGGAAGGAGAAGATGAAGAGGGAAAAGAAGAAGGCAAAGAAGAAGGCAAAGAGGATGCAGAGAAGGGTGAGTGTTGTGAGTGGCCTGGATGCCGGGGAGACTGTTCCAGGCACTCATAGTTGGAGGGATCCAGCTGAGGGCAGGGTTGTGACGGAAATGTAGCCGGCCTTGGTTTTACCTTCCTGTGGGGGCAGCAAGCAGAAGAGTTGGGGGGAACCACAGGCATACTTCCTGCCCTCCGTCCTTCAGTAGTGACAGTTCCAAGTCCTCAGTGGCTGGTGTCTGAGCTGGGACCCTCGGTGCAGTTTTTACGGCTCTGGTTTGCCTGTCCTCTCCCTTAGCGCCTCTCCAGCCCCTGTTGGGAGTCCGTGTCCCCCTACCTGAGTGATGAGCGCCAGCAGGTACCTAACAGTAAATCCAGCCTCAGCCCTCAGCCCACTGTTGCCGCGGTGCGCCGTCGGGGGGGTGGGCTGAGTCCTATGAGCTTTCGGGTCTTTACCTCTGGGGGCTGCACTTAGGCCTCAGCCAAGGCCTCCCTGCATCCCGCTACCTGGCCCCGCTGAACTTGTGCCAGTGTCCCCACCGAGACGGCTTCTGTTTGCCTTCCAGCCTCCCTGTGGCGCTCTGCAGAGTATGGGTGTTCTGGAGAGCAGTGGGGTCAGCCTGTATCCTCCTCTCTTCAGGACCTAGGCCCAAAACAGTTCCCTGCCCAGCCCAGGGTGCCCAGCCCTGCTCGTGGCCGGAGTCCTTGTTCGAACGGCTGCTCTCAGAATGGACTATCTGGAGTAGAAGGCGGGTGATCCAGCTGGAGGCCCCAGGGCCTGCCCTGACCCAGTGGAACCAAGCTGGTGACTGTGCTTCTCTTTCCACAGGGGCCCTGAGCACCCAGGATGATAGTGGGCAGATCAAGCGCAAGTTGCAGGCAGGCAAGAAGAGCCAGGACAAGCAGAAAAAGCGGCAGCGAGACCGCATGGTGGAAAGGTAACCGGCTTCCCGCCAGTCCTTTGCCTCTGCCTCGCTCCGGGGCTGCCGCCTGGAGAGCAGGGCCATAGCTCTGCCGCCTCGCCGCCCTCAGGCCTCCCTCGGGAGCTGCCACCTGCTCAGCCGTGCATGGACCCTGCTTCCCGCCAGGCCCAGCTCCCAAGGCCTGACTCGTTCCCTGCCCCACTGCGGCCGCCTGGCGACCGCTGGCGTCTTTGACCTGAGACCCGACACTGCTCGGCACCGTTGCCCAGAAGCTCCAGCGCTAGGTCACTCGGCGCACGAGCCCCGAGGTGCACTGGGGGCCCGATGCCCCTGCGGGAGGGGGCCAGCTCATCAGAGACTCGAGGTCCAAGGCGCCTGTGCCACCCCAGCTAGCTGCCAAGAGGCCGCCGCCGCGCCCAGGAGAGATGGCAGCACCTGTGGGCTGTGGCAGCCGCGGGCCTGCCCTCTGCCCTGCCCGCCGGCCCTGTCAGGCCGGGCCTGTTTGCGGCTGAGGCCTTCACGCCCCTTGGTCGGGTCTGTCTGCCCTCAGGGCTCCCGCACTGGCGCTTGCCTCCTCCTCCTCCGCCTCAGACTCTTGCTCTTGCTGGACCTTCCTCAGCCTCGCCGGCGCCCGGCCCCTGGGCTCTCCAGACAAAGCTGACCCCGTGGCCCAGATAAGGACGTCCGGCAGAGGTAGGGACCCGCCCCGAGGCCTCGGTGGCGGCTGGCCTCCTCCGCCCCTTGCCACGGCGGCCTGCTCCAGCCCAGGCCCCAGACCCCGGGCTTCTGCTGTGGACACCAGGCCCAGACAGAGCACCTCGCTCAGGTGACTCCAGGCTGCCCTCTGGCAGGCCAGGCGGGCATCCTCCTTCCAGCTCAGACTGGTCTCTTCTTGGAAGAGGAAGATGAGGCAGCAGGAGCCCAGGCCTGCTTGCCTCCCATCCCTCCCGACACCACCCCCAAGCATTCTGAGCAGAGGATGGGCTGGGCCTTTCAGTCCCCCAGACCCAGAAGGAAGATGCAGCACCTTTTCGGGCCCTGCCTCAGGACTGTGTACTCCACTCTGCACCTCAGGGCCACCTGGCTCACGCCAGGGCATCCTTCCTTCCGGTCCCCAGTTGGGCCAAGTGCACACGCTCGTGCCCAGCCTTGGTAGAGAGGCCCACCGGCAGCCTTCCAGCGACTCCTGGCCTGTTGCAGCAGCTGCTGCCTCGGGTTTCAGCCTCCTGTCTGGGAAGGAAGAGCTCCACCCCAGCCCCCCACGTTGCAGTAACTGCAGTCTGCAGACTTTCTGTCCCTTTCTACTCCCGACCCTACTGGTCCCAGCTTGTCCCCCTGCTGGGACCGCCCTTCAGAGGCCCGTGAGCAAGGCCTGTTTCAGGGCTCGCAGCTGGGTTGGGTGAGGCGGCAGCACTGCTCCCTGGGACCCTTGAGGCCTCAGCCCCTTGTTTCTTTCCTGTGGCAGGATCCAGTTTGTGTGCTCTCTCTGCAAATACCGGACCTTCTACGAGGAGGAGATGGCCAGCCACCTCGATAGCAAGTTCCACAAGGAGCACTTTAAATACGTAGGCACCAAGCTTCCCAAGCAGACAGCTGACTTTCTGCAGGTGAGCCTTGGAGGAGCAGCTTCTCAGACCCCTGGGAACACAGAGAAGCCTGCACAAACCTTGGTATCTCCTCGGTATCTTTGACAGGAGTATGTTGCCAATAAAACCAAGAAGACAGAGGAACTCCGGAAAACCGTGGAGGACCTTGATGGTCTGATTCAGCAGATCTACAGAGACCAGGATCTTACCCAAGGTGAGGAGGTTCCATCCCACTCCAACCAGGCAGAGACTCAGCCTGCCCTTCTCTGGTTCTCAGAGTGGGGTCAAGATACCCCTCTGTTCCCCCAGGGAGGGTCAGTGAGAACAGCCTCAAGCCCACGTGGAAATGGCAGGGCGAAGTGAGGAGCTGGTCTGGTGTTTTCCCTAAACTGCTAGGTATGTCTTAGGCACCTGGAACCAGTGGTGACCCTCCTTCTCCTCCCTGCAGAAATTGCCATGGAGCATTTTGTGAAGAAAGTAGAGGCAGCGCACTGTGCAGCCTGTGACCTCTTCATTCCCATGCAGTTTGGGATCATTCAGAAGCACCTCAAGACCATGGATCACAACCGCAACCGCAGGGTGAGTGGACACCAGTGCCCTACCGCCATCCTGTGCGTTGACTTGGGGGGCGGTGCTGGGGTTATAACCTCTGCTTGCCCATGAGGCACTGCAGGAGATGTGGCGGGGCAGGAAGATGGAGACATTTCTGGTAGTGCAATCAGTGCAGCTACAGGGAGAAGGGAGGGAAATGGGGACACTTTCAGGTGGCATTAGAGCTGGACCCTTAAGGCTGTGGGATATGGGGACCTCCGTGTGCATAGGGGCCACCAGCCAGAATAGGTTCAGAAACCCAAGAGGAAGTGTACAGTGTGCATCTTGCTAGCGGAGGGGTTCATGAGGGCTGGGCTGAGGGCCGTGGCTCTCTCCTGTAGGCAGTTTTTAAGTCGGGCATTAACAGGATTAGAGTTGCTGCAGCACCTGGTGTGGAGGGAGATCTGGGGGGCACACGAGGAACTGCGGCACTACCAAGCTACAGGAGTGCCTCCACTTTGGGAGTGATGAGAAAGGCTGGACAAAAAGGGCTATTTAAGGAAGTGACCATCTGGGATGTCTCGGGCTTCTGGCTTGGGTAACTAGATGGACAGAGCAGCTGCTAAGATAAGGGGGTAGGGATATGGTACAGGGAAAGGAGTCAGTCTGGCAAGAAGGTGAACAAATTCAGTCTTTTTGCCAATGTATCCTCAATGCCTAGCACACAAGCCAGAGGAGGTGTTTTTTGATTGAGGGGGTGTCCTGCTGGGCTGAAGGTGGCTGTCAGAGGTCCGCTTGGGGTGGGGGGAGGGGGGCGGCAGGGGGCTATGCAGTAGGGAGAGAACTCAGGACCAGGACCAGGTCGGGACCCCCGGAGGCTTGACTGCCACCACCCTGGAGGAGGTGGAGGGGATTTATGTGCAGATGATGGCAGCCAGGGAGAGCATAGGAAATAGCACTGCTCAGCCTTTTTCCACAGCCATCTGATTCATCTCTGGTCTTTCTTGATGCACTGATTCTCAACAATGAGATGGGGGAGGTGGTGGAGGAGATCATGTGTGGATCTTGCCAACACCAGGTTCTGGAACTAGGATCTGATAAGGCGGTAAGAAGAGAGCAGACCGCAGTGCATGATATTAAAATGTGGAAAATCTAGGTGAAATGAGGGATTGCCAGTAAAACATAAACTCACATTGATCCTAGAAGTTTGGGGGAAAAAACAAAAAAGCCATAGCTGCTAATAGAGGGGTACAGAAGGGTGAGGAAAGACAGAAGATAACTTAGAAATTAGAAAGCACCAGAGGTTGTTGAGTTACAGAGATTTGAGTACAATTTAAATACTGTATTTTTAGAGATTCCAGACTGTAGAAATGAATGAAAAACTTCTAATTATTATTATTTTGGGTCACAGCTTTATTGAGCTATAATTCGTCTAGCATATAGTTCACCCATTTAAGCTATACAGTGCAGTAGTTTTTAGTATATTACAGTTGTGCAGCCATCAGCACAATTACAGAACATTTTTATCACTTCAGAAAGAAACTCCTGTCCTTTCACTCTCACTCCCTAATGCCCCCACCATGTTTCCCCAGCCTTAGACAACCACTGAACTACTGTGTCTCTGTGTATTTGCTTATTCTGGGCATTTCACGTAAATGGAGTCATGTAATAGGTGGTCTTCTGTGATTCTGTGATCATCTTCTTCCATTCAACGTGTTTTCAGGGTATATCCAGGTAGCATGTGTCCGAACGTCGTTCCTTATGGCCTAATCCTATTCTCCTGCATGGATATAACATATTTGGTCTATCAGTTCATTAATTTGGGTATTTGGGCTATTTTCACCTTTTGGCTATAATGCTATTACAAGTATTTGAACATGTGTGTACAAGTTTTTGTGTGGGCATATGTTTTTCTCTTGGGTATGTATCTAGGAGTGGAATGTATGAATCCAGTAGTAACTCTCCTTAACTTCTTCAGGAACAGCAGGATGTTTTCCAGAGTGGCTGCACCATTTTATATCCCATCATGTTTTATATTCCCATCAGCAATAGTGTGCGGGTTCTGGTTTCTCCATACTTCTCTAGCGCTGATATAGGACTTTCTGATTCTAGCCTTCCTAGTGGGTGTGAAGTGCTGTCTACTGTTTATTTACTTATTTATTTATTTATTTAAAGATCTTAGAGAGAGAGAGAGAATGAGTGGTAGGGAGGAGCAGAGGGAGAGAGAGAGAAGCAGACTTCCTGTAGAGCAGGAAGCCCGATGTGGGGCTTGATCCCAGGATGCTAGGATCACGACCCAAGCTGAAGGCGGATGCTCAACAAACTGAGCAACCCAGGAACCCCTATTTTTTATTTGGATATTCCTAATGACGGTGATGTTGAGCATCTTTTAATGGGTTTGTTAACCATTTGTCTGTGTCCTTGGAGTTGGAGAATGTCTATTCAGATCTTGTGTTTGTTTCTTAGTTGTATGGTCTTCTTGAGTTACAGAGTTTTTAATATATTCTAGGGGTGCCTGGATAGCTCAGTTGGTTAAGTGTCTGACTCCTGGTCTGGTTTCAGAGCAGGTCATGATCTCAGAGCCATGAGATCAAGCCCCATGTTGGGCTCTGCCCTCAGTTCGAGTTGGCTTGAGATTTTCTCCCTCTCCCCCTTCCCCCCACTCACATTCCTGCTATTTCTAAAACAAATAAATAAATGAGATCTTTAGAAAAAGAATTCTTTATATATTCTAGATGCAAATCCTTTATCAGACCTACAGTTTACATTTTCTCCCAGTTTGTAGGTTGATTTGTCACCTTCTTGATGTGTCTGCAGCACAAAAGTTCCATTTTGATAAAGACCAGTTTATTTTGTTGGCTTGTGCTTGGGGTGTCATGGCCAAGAGTCCATTGTTAAATCCAGGGTCACAAAGATTTATCCTTGTGTTTCTCATAAGCTTTAGCTCTTTTAATTTGGATCTTTTGACGCCATCTTTTTTTTAATCCAGTTTGACTATATTTTGATTAGTTTGCTTAATCCATTCAGATTTAATGTTATTACTGAGATGATCAGATTTACATCTCTTGTTCTATTCCCCCTTTACTGGTTTTTGGTTTTTTGTTTTAATTTTTTAGTGTAATATTTTGATTTCCATAATGATTTGTGTGTGCTACATTTTTGGGGGGACATCTTTTCTGAGTGGTTTCTCTAGGCCTTACCTTATACATACTAACTTCTCAGAATCTTTTTCAGATAGAATATCTTAATTTCAGTGGAACTGAATTACTCATGTATAGCTCTCTCTATATAGGCGGTTGTTGTGTTACTGTTGAACATAGTATTTTATCTACATGTGTTCTAACAACACAAAGCCAATAGTGTAATACAGTATCATGACTACTTTATGTAATTTTATGTCTTTTAAGGAAGCTGACAGATGAAAGGGAAGCAATTATATATTATATATTTATATTATATATATTTCTAGTTTTTTATATATTTTATATATATTTTTATACATATTCTATATATTTCTAGTTTTTGTTATATTAGCCTTCTTATTTTTTACTTTTGGTTCTCTCCATCTTAGTTTTTCCTGTGGATTTAAGTTACCATCTGTAGTCACTTCCTTATTAGTCCAGTACAGCTTTAGTCCTCCTTCCTTCTTTGTGCCGTTATTGGCAAACATGTTTCTATATGCTAATAGATGAAACAATACAAATGTGTGTGTGTGTGTGTGTGTGTGTGTGTGTTGTTTTATACAACTAGTTTTCAGTCAGTTGAGAAGAAAGGCAAAGAATCACACGTTTATAGTGTCTGTTTTTGTTGGTCTTTCACACATGGATTCGCCTTACTGTCTGGGGTCACTTGCTTTCAGCATGGAGAACTTCCTTTAGTATTTCTTACAAGGTCTCATGTCAGCAGACTCAGGTATTCTTGATTGTGGAAGGTCTATTTCACCTTCTTTTTTTTTTTTTTTTTTAAGATTTTGTTTATTTATTTGACAAGACCGAGATCACAGGTAGGCAGAGAGGCAGGCAGAGAGAGAAGGGGAAGCAGGCTCCCTGCTGCGTGGAGAGCCCAATGTGGGACTCGATCCCAGGACCCTGAGATCATGACCTGAGCCGAAGGCAGCAGCCCAACCCACTGAGCCACCCAGGCGCCCTATAATTTGTCTCTTTACTGATACTCTGTATTTGATGAGACCTTGTCATCATGCCTTTTCCTTCTTCCCACCCCTACCCTAGTCTTGTTCCTGTATTTGCTTACTTATTTGCCTGGTCAAATTATTTGTTGAAGTCTCTCTAATCTCCACAACGTGAAGCCTTTGGTAGGGTGCCTTGGAGGGGGAAGCCATAGGACACAGCTTCCTGGAATAACAGTGGTTTTGACTGACAGGGTTCTCTTTTTTCTTTCCCAGACTAAACTATTACAAACTATAAAAATTGTTGGCGGATTGCTGTGTTGTTGTTTTCAGCAGTGCCTTGAGCCATTAAATTGTTCTCCAATCTGAGTCAGTTAAATAAATCCAGGCTCTTTTATACTGATTATTTTTGAGGTCATTGTTTGAGAGTTCTGAGCCCTGTAGGCTCTTCTTTTTTTTTTTTTTTTTTTTTTTTTTTTTTTTTTGACAGAGAG